ACTGGTTTTATTGCCATTTGTTTTCAGCCAGGTACCCTTATTGAATGGGGAAATAATTGGTAAGTGCCTTTGATTTTGCCTTATATCTACAGTCGAACCTCTCCACAACAAAACCCTTGGGGACAGAAAAATAGCTGTTGTAGAGAGGTGGCAGTTATGGGGAGGTACATGTATTGGTGTGATATGACTCCTGTTTTTTGTTCTTTTTTCCCAGGGATGAAACATTTTATTTTTTTTTTAAATGCTAATTGTACATAGCATATAGATATGAAACACAATCAAAATATATCTATATAAAAACTGAAACCAAACAGAAACAGCAATGCCTGGTATGGATCAAGTTTTGTAACTTATTGCAATAAAAAAATGTGTTTTGTATACACCATTCATCAGCCATCGAGTAACTGGACATTGTAGAGAGGTTATTTTGGCAGCCTAGATGCCATTTAGTGACTGGTGCCGTTGAAGAGTTTAAAATACATGTAAGGGTGCGTGATGGAGAATTCATCAGGACGAAAAAGTGGTCATTGTTGAGAGGAGGCTGTTTGTGGAGGCTCAACTGTATTCTAAACCTTGTTCCAACCCAGATACTCTTTCTTTATTGGTTATGGTTATTGTATAAATATTTCCATTTCTGTTCAAACCAGTTGTGATTTAAGTCTTGCCTGTTTCAGTTATGTTCATACATGTAGCAACATGTGACTCGTGGTAATCCATATTGTACTTGACAGGGGCCAGGCAATTCAAATTCGTCAAGAAGAGGATGATGCTGTGGCAGGACTGTTTTCTCAGATAGGTGAACTGTATGTTGTTCACCACATATGGGGTAAGTATTAACATGTTTTTCCATGCTTTTGTAGATAAATTAATTTCAGATGAAAGTGATTGTCTAGGTTTGGTCTATTGTATAGCATCGCAGGCATGCAATGCGTGCAGATCAGTTCTATTACTAATAATATTTTGCGTAACTTTGGAGAGGTTGCTCTTTTGGGTAGCTACGACAGTAACATATCCCAAATAAAGGAGACAAGTTTTCCATAGGTGGAGAGCTGATAAGGTTAAAGTATTGTTGGAAATAACATATATTACATCATAACAGAGTAAAATATCAATATTATTGCCTTTGGAATAAGGGCAATGTAAAACAAATATGAGATCCCTTTGAATCTGCCATTAACTCCGCATGAACATGTACAAACTTAGCAAGTCAAGTCACATTTGACCCTACAACTATCGGAGGATCTTAAGTTGCAATATGTTATTTTACTTATGTGATTGCCCAAGGGGGATTGGTGAGTTTGGGGTGTGCTGACCCCACTGACCTTCTTCTGCAGGCTTGTCTATTATTCCACAGGATTTGCCATAATGAGTTGTTTATTATCAACGTGGGACGAATCAGTAGCCAGGCTTTTAGAAGAAATAAGGGTGTGTTGTTTATCCACAGCATATGACGACCTTGCAACACGTCAAGTAATAAGAGAGAATCTGTGGAACAGGCCTGGTTGGGATACCTGTGTCGCTAACACTGGTATGTCAATACCTTTAAAAAGCCCACCACCTCAGTCAGACTGCCTGTAATTTTTGATGCAGTTCATTTGTTACAAGGTGTATTGGCATAGTTTATTAACTGTTTGCAGATCCTTCTTAGGGTTCGCTTCTTGCAACTCACCATCAATTTTAGGGTTTCCTTTCCTGCCAGCTATAAGATTTTTTCGAACTGTTGACATTTCAACTATCAGCTATTACAGTACAAGATCATTATTCGGTGTAAATTTTCCCCATCCAGGAATGGTCCTCATTTTAAAAGTCTCTTTTTATATCAAAACATTTCACCTGCAGTTAGTTTTTGACTCATTTTAAATCTACATGCACACATACAAATTTGGCACATTTTTTATTACTTTGTGTTGATATAAATTTCTCATTTTCTCTCTTCAATTAGTTCCACTCATTCGTCGAATGGAATCAAGGGTAATGATCCCATTACCTTTTGGATCTCTACAGTAATCAAAGCAAAGGTTTTCATTAGCTGAAGGGATGTCAAATTGTATTTGTAGACATTCCTTGCCAGGAGCAAAAAAGGATCTCCAGTCTAATGCTGCGTCACTTATTTTACATAAGTGAGGATGAGGATTACAGATTTGTAATTCAATTTTGTTCTCATCACCGCTATGATATTGAAAAGGAATTTAAAACTGGGTTAATCTGTTAATAGTGTAGGAAGTAAATGATTATTTTATTAAGTGCAATGGAATTTGCCATAATCAGATCCCATTATGGCAGGTTAAAAATGTAATGTTTGAATGTGACTGGGATCATGACCATGTGTTCACTTGTGGCAATATTCTGCGTAGAGCTCCATTGTAAATTCCACTGAGCCATTCCATCTGCAAAATGTAATGTTGAAAGGTTCAGTTGTGGGACTGTTTGAGTATAAAACTCAATTTGCTGGATTTATGTGAAACATTGATATCTCCCCAAATATCCCTGAAGCCATTGCTCAATTTTTTAAAACTTCTCAGTTCAGTGGCAGCATTGGCCATTCAATGAGAATTTCTAAATGAAACACACTTCAAAGCTTGTAAGGTTCACATGGAACCAAGAACAAATGCATTCCAACTCATTTAATTCTATTTTGACTGATGTCTAACAAAAAAAAAGATATTATTTGTCTTGCTTACTGAAGAAACCCTTCCATGAGGATTACTGTGTTGCTAGATCTCCAGGGCGGGGGAAGCGGGGGTACTCCCAGAAAAATTGGGTGGGATTGTGTGGCCCACTTCCCAAAACCCTTACCCTATTTATGACCAAAATCTGCAATTTCTCCTCCCCTATTTATGACTTGACCAAAAACTCGATACCCTATTTATGGCCATTGCAGCTGGCACAGTTGCCCTAAACATAATGTATGAAGGGCTTTTGTTGATGGTCTTATCGATAATGATGAAAAAGTAGCTTCTTCTATAGAAAACAGTGTGCAAAAATCTGACCAAAATGGCCAAAATCGATACCCTATTTATGACCAAGACGGCTGAAAAACCATACCCTTTGGGGCCACACATACCTACATAGCCCATAGAAGGGAGTACCCCCTCCCCCTGGGTTAGATTTGAACTTCACGATGTCTGACATGCCACACGCCTTAACTACTAAGGACATAATACTCACTTTTTACATTGAATCATGGTATTTGCTGTCAAGCAACATTGTACAATGTCCATATAACGTCCTTGTGGTTGCTTGTTTCAAGGTGCCCTGGCAGGTCCAACTCAGGTTTTGAAAATGCTGTAAAATAGAATTTCGTGGCCTTGCCTTGTATGAAAGGCACAGTCATGTAAATGGTTATATATGAAGTGGCAGCAAAAACTTGGCCAACAAAATTCTCGAAAAGGGAAAAGACACCTTAAAGTATTCTCTCCACATAAATGTTTTCTCCTTTTTAATTGTTATAAGCAATAAAGTGTACTTAGCTTTTTAACATATGCTGACTGAATCGTTTTCAGAGATCACTGTTTCTTTTATGTTTATTGTTTCAATAGTTCATTCCTCCGGAGTTACATGTATTCCACTGGAGTTTCGAAAACAAATATTCATTTCTGTTTTCGGCAGACAAAAATTTAACAAGCCTGGGTTTCTGCTTAAGTTATTTACATAACTGCGAAGTAGTACACCTCAGTAATCCATCATGGATTGACCAATTTATTCATGAATCATTTACCTTGAGTCAATGAGATAAGGATGGCAGAACTGGTTTATTGAATGCGATGCAGGTCGTGTAGGTAAATTTGGGGGAGTTTGGAGAAAAAAGTAAATCACACATGCATGTGTTGTTGCTTTAGGATTTTTAATATGAGAATAGGAAATGAGTTTTTAGAAGAGATGTGTGTGTTGTAGTAGAGTTAACTGACCCCCACCCTCCCCGCCTCCCCAAACCATCTTTAGGAGATTTGTGTGTATCGCGGTGGAGTTAACTGACCTCCCAACCATCCGGGTGGTGTGGGCTTATATAGAAATAACAAACGCTTGGCTGAGAACCAATCAAGAAGCACTGTTAAACTAGTCAGAATGGTTTTGACACCGCATGGATTTGGTGATTCAACATGGCGGACACAACTTGTCAAGGCTGGTTGAACTGGTTTTAAAGAGAGAATTTTAGCATAACGGAAAACATTCTTTTGATATATGAAGGAGATAATTTAAACGTAACAGAAAAAATCCGTTGCGCGGGCGTCTAATTGATTATTCAAAGAAATACCAAACAATCAGTTTAAAGTAAATAAGTGCAAAGTTTATTGAGTGACTCTTGAAAATACTCCATACAGAGTTATAATTGGATACCCGATATCTTTAAACAATGCTCAAGACATTTTTCAAATCGCTCCGACTAATTAAAAGTTACCGGTCCGGTGGCACAACTCTTGAATTGTGCGATTTTTGATACAAGCACTAAACTTTGTAGGGTAATGTGCATTCCAATACTGATCAATTCCTGATATAGAGCCAAGCTCAATTTTCTAATTCCAGCCAGTTAGCGATAATTAGAGTTTTCACTCATTAGACCCCCCGCGAAGTTCTTGTTCACGTTCTTTTTCGAGAATTCATTCACGTTTTACCTTACGTTTTCACGTTCTTAATGCACGTATGATTAAAATAGTTATTTTTCTTTCTTAGTGCAATTTCATACTGACGTCAGTTTTTCATGCGTCTGTCCTGTTATTGATCATGAATTACGTCATAACATTGTCAAGGTAACTGAGGATCCATTCGGCTATCGTCTCGTGCATCCACAGCTGCTGTGACAATTTTATGACGGAATTCATTGTCAATAAGAGGACAGACGCATGAAAAACTGACGTTAATTTGTTTTTTACGCTAACAAATTGTCAAATTTTCCGCTCTTGTCTTATCTCGCCCGTTGACGCATCGCATAAATTATAAATTCATGTTTCTGCCCGCTTATTGACAATGAAAATTAGCAATGAGCGAGCGAGAATTTCTGCAGTTATCGTAAAAAGTACTATTGAGGTTAGAATATTGGGAAATATACTTCAGGAAAGCGAAATGCTACAATCCACGACATAGGTAAGTCCCTGGCACGCCTGGATAGCACGAAAATGCGTTGTTTTGAAAATAATAGCTAATGACATCACTAGAATAGAGAACCCCCTCTCCCTCATCCCTCCCCACCGCCCGACAATGTTGGAAACGAGCAATGACGACTTCATCACGCTAAACAACACTGAATTGGCTGGAGGGGGGACGAACTGATAAATTTCCCTGAGAGATAATGCAAAAGTGCGTAAGCGTGCCAACACTTGTCGGGGATTGTAGTAGTAGTAG